ATATATATATATATATCTACCTACCCCGTCGGCAAACTCCCTCCAGCAAGCTTTTTCAGGTGAACCACCCAATGTCTCTCCAACGCTTGCTTCCCCTCTCGCCTGCTCCTATTTCCCTTCCCCCCTTCCCCCCCGGAAAAAAGCAGCCACTCCTATCGGAGAGAGGAAGAGGGAGAGGAAGAGGGAGAAAAAATTAGAGAGAAAGAGAAGCGAGAAAGAGAGAAAGAAACAGAAAAAGTGAAAATAATATATATATATATCATCACCACTTCACGTCAATCTCATAGACATAAAAGGTGGTGCTCATAATCTCCAATATCCCATTTGCAGCGTTTTTATCCCAATGAGAAGAACTCGTACATGCCTTTAAGAGAGTGGCACGGGGAGCTCATATGCGACATTCACGGTGCAACTTAAACGCTAATCATTAATCCGTGTCCACAACAAACCCGTGCATGTTTTTAAGAGCATGGCGGAGAAGATTCTTCGATGACATTCACAACGAGAGGGATATACATATGTGCTTTAATGTGTGCTTGCAAGTACCTCATACATGCCTTTAAGGGCGTGGTGGGTTTCAAGTACTTCGGTCACGATGTCTCATGGCAACGGTCATACATGCCTTTAAGAATGCGGCGGTTAGGCCCAGCTTTCCTGATGTAGCCCTCCTCGTGGAGATGACGCCCGGATGCTGCCAGAATGCTACTGAAATTTTCTTTGAGCTAGCACTAGACTTGAGCAAATTTAAAAAAAAAACTCAAAATTGACTTTGTATAAAAAATGCAAGAAAAAAAATATATCAAAAGCCTAAGTTAATCAATGCTCAAATCGGTTTACACTTGCAAGACAAAAGAAAGAGGCAAGTAAAATTGAAAGCAAAACAAAGAGCTTAAACACCCATCATTAAGCACAAATTGAATGTTCATTGAACTCCAAATCCCTTTGCATATATGAATATGAATGTTCAAAGGAAATGGATAAACTATTGAATTTCATTTTAAAGAGGCTAAAGATTATGTAAGTCAATCACATGGTTGAATATAAGACGAGTTTATAATGAACTGAGTAACTCACAGATAAGAACATGAATCGGCAACTTCTTTATAATCATCAGTAAAACTTGAGGGCTCATTTTGAATAAGAAAGAAGATTACTTATTGAACGATGCAAGCTTTAAAGTTTTTTAATCCGTATTGAAGCAGTAGTGAGATGAAGTGAACCTCATATATCTATAGCCCAAGTTTGATACTTTGTTAGCACATGATATGATTATAGAAAAAAGAATTTTAACATTTCAAAATAGTGGCAAGGCTTATAGTGTGTTAATCGCCACCGAATCCACAATCCCTCTGCACTAGCGGACAAAAAGAGAAATCAAAGGCTTAAATGATATATTTATATATACTTTAATGATAACACATTCATGCAAATAGCAATAAAATCTCCTGAAAGTAAGTCCAAATTGACAAATTTTAAATAACCGCATGTACTTCCTCGCTTTTCTTAATTCACTAAATGTAGGCATTGGAGAATGTTATGCAGATTGATCAAATGCTTAGGCTAGAATACAATTATGTAGAGAAATGTGCATGCATTTCAAAATATTTCAAACCAATCTAATTCCCTTCCTAATTAGAACTATAGTTGACAGGACTAATTATTTTTGGATGCTTAAATGAATGAATTCAATCAAAAACCAACAATAAAATTATTTCAACTTGTTTCGACGATGATGGGCCATGGTTGTGTTGAATGTGAATCTCAACCGAAGGGGTTTTCATGAAATTTAAGGAATCTCAAGCCATAAAATTTAATATACACACAGAGATATCTATATATATGTAATTCATATCACTAAAAAGCTAAAGAGCATCAAACCATCCATCATCTATCATCATTTGTTGGGGTGCACAAATCTTGTATTAATTTAAGCTCACATGGAGCTAATGGCATGTCAAGTATATTACTAAATTAAAGCTCAAAAATAATTATGTGTCAGTAAGGGCATTACCGAGTCCTCTGTCCGCAAGATTTTGATGTCAAATTATACCACAAGAAGCGTTTACGATTAAAGGCCTTTGACCGGATAGCTTGACGCCAAATGAAAACATTATATTATGGTCATGGTTGTAGCCCATATGTTCCCTAATATATTTTGTCCTTCTGAGTTATAAATTATTGGGTATGTTTCATAGGGCGTGAAACCCTTTGTCAACTAAGATTGATTTGGATTAGTCCCCCTCGACAAATATTTACCCCAGGTCAACAAGATCCCCTTGGACGAAGAAACCCATGGTTGCCGGCAGGGATTCTTCTGTCAGGTTGGGTCGACTACCTCTTCTGATTAAGTAGATCGAGGTCCACGACATCCCGAGATCATGGAACCATGGGAGCTTGAGTGGGTACATCATTACTTCTCCTACTATTCACTCTTAAGCTCACAGTAATAATTTCATGGTAATAAATTTTAAATTTGTTCCTATTGCACACTGAGAAATCAACTCCCTAATGACTAGCCTTAGTCGGAAGTGTTCTCCCGTTATCGAGAGAGGTGATTAAACATGTCTTTCACACATTGGAAACCTCGAACCCCATACCTTAAAGTCCTTGCAGAATGAGGGTGAAATCTCAAGGTAGTGTCTTATCTAATATCTCATATGCCTTCTGAAAATTCAACCCCAAAACCTCAAAGTAAACTTCCTTCTTTTGCATATTCTTCGAGGGATGCTAGGACCATTCCTAAATTTTCAGAGCCCGCAAATAAGTACGCCCTAAGGATTACCATGAGTAGGTGCCAATCCTTACCTCCAACCTCCTGTAAACATAGATTGTTTCGTGAGTATATTTAATGCCAGCTGAGTAATGATAATTATATTTTAAAATTTAGCTTTTCCTTGTCAATTTAAACAAATCAAGTTGTTCATGTTTTATGACGCAGCAAATGCATGCATATAAGATAGGAAAATTAATTGCAAACCATGAAATTATAACATCTCAGGCAATATAGGTAATTCTCACCCCAAAAAAAAAAGGTATTAGACTAAATGAAGCAATTTCCATCTCAATGAGTTTGTCTCCTTCTACATCATACATACTTGCTCACCAGGTCTTTCATCATAATGCAATACCATACCTGGTCAATCGCGCAAGGTATCAAGCAACGTAGATTGTCGCGGCCAGCAAAAAGATGTGGAAAAGAGCTTGGGAACGACGGAACAGCCTGCACTTCAACAAGCTTACGGATTATTCATAGTTGGAAGAATTATTTCAAAGAAAAAAAATGGAAAATTTACATAACTACCACACAGTTCTTATGTATTTATAAATATAACACCCAAAGTTTTATAATTACACTTAATAACACATTGGTGTCAAACCAATGCATAAAAAGGTGAATTTCATTTTTAGAAAGAAAACTTTGGTGGTATTTTTCATGTGATGTTAAGGATTTGAGTTGTATGCATAAAAATATGAATGTTTAGGTATTACGTATGTAAAAACATAAGAATGTATGGTATGTAAGTAAATGCCCCAAAAAAATTTCATAGTAAATAAGCGAAGCAGACAATGCTATGTGTCCATTCATTTCCCTTTCTATTCATATTCCTTTCCTTTTAACAATATTATAATTTGTGTGCCCCCATTTAAGTTTAGTAAAACTGAAAATAACTATCATTCAAAACTTTATACTCTCACAAATTTATAGACAGAATTTGTCGCTCATTAAAGAGGTGATTAGCATTAGGATAGAACCTGTATGGGCGGAAAGCTGATTTTTCCAATATGATCTTCATGTGTAAAGCCAAAGATTCCCACAACCTGTATTCAAGTCAAAATATGAATCCTTAAAATGGTAAAATCATTATCAAGCAATGTGTAATCTCATTCATGGACATGCATATAAGGCCTGCATAAGAAGACTACTACATAAATGTGTCGGCGTTTAAAAAAGGGGGAGTTACGTTTGGG